CCTGGAGAGTAAATAGAAAATATATACGTTTGCTATTGGCTCTGGCTAAATGGGTCATTTTACCACTAAACAGTGAGCCAGACCATACGGGAGTTAAAAATCAACATATACCAACTAATGGCATATTGGGTTACAGAGTCTTCATAACAACAAATATGCCATCATTACATGCTAAATGGTTATTCTGAAGGCATCTGAGGCAAATAAAAGGATTGTTTGTCAGACCATCACAAATGTAAACGTGTAGTTTGACACCAAGCTTTTTGGGGAAGAAACACCCCTGTTGGATTTGGTCTGTTTCATATTTTAATTTTAATATTTTTATCTATTTTTAATTTCGCCTTTATTAATACAGATAGTCTCATTGAGATGCAGGATCTCATGTTCAATAGAGATCAGCTGTTTGAAGAAACAAAACAACCAAAAAAAACAGTAACGCTTTACAAATGCAGGAACGATACAAAAAATGAAAACGTTCACCTCAATTAAAAATATTTAAAAACAGGAGCAAGTTGAATTAGATATTTTTTTTTGTCTTTAAGAAAATTTTATTATACAGGAAGAATCAATGCTGCTTATTTCAGATTTTAGAGTACTGCAATAGCCATGAACACACCTTAAGCCTGCTCTTTAGTCCATTCTGTCACACTTATCCTAAGCGTGGTCATAAGGGGTGCAGATGCTAATCTCCAGCTGTCTACGGGCAAGAGGCGGGGTACACCCTGGACAGGTCGCCAGTCCATTGCTCGGCAACACAGAGACAAACAACCAATAAAACACATTCACACCTAAGGAGAATTTTAGAGAAGCCAATTAACTTAACAGTCATATTTTTGGAGTGTGGGAGGAACCCGGAGCACCCAGAGAGAACCCACGCTTGCTCAGGGATAACATGCAAACTTCATGCAGAAAGACCCCAGGCCAGGAATTGAGTCTGAAACCTTTTTGATGCAAGGCAGCAGTTCTACCCACTGCAACACCGAGCAGCCTCTGCTCAAATCAATGATATGATGCTTTGAAAATCTTAGATCTCTGTCTCTGAATGCTTGATGTTAAAACAAGACTACCCTATCAGGACATTAGTGCTGAAAATATGGCCCCATCTGAAACAGACATATCTTATGTTGTCATATTGCTGAATTAGTCTTTTTGATGTTAAGTCAGTTTGGTGAAGCTGGTTTGGTTTCAAAACCACTCATAAACATGGCTGAGGCCTCAGCAGCTAAGCTTTATGCTTTGCTAAAGCGAGTTCATGAAGCCATCAATAGGCCTGGAGTGTCAAGTGATTGTCCAGTGATCTTCCCTCCCTCCTCCATACCTCACTGCCAAATATTTTGCACTTTTTTATTTAAAAATAAATGGAAACATGAGCTTTTATTTATTTTAAATGGATGTTTGGGCTTTTATAATAATAGTTATCTAATATAATAACAGAAATACTCCAGAGGGGCTATACTGATCACATTTGGTTGGTGTGCAGTTCGTTTCATTTTCCCCAGCAGGCACACTTTCCACAAGGGAGCTTTGGAGCATTACTGCTCTGCTTCATATTAAAGAACAAAGTTCAATTTTTATAATATTTGCAATATTTACTTTAAAGACAATATATAGTGATTTTTATCATAAAAAGGCTCTAATAGTAAAACTGGAAAACCTCAGGAGATCTGTGCTGCCAACTAGTGGCTGGGGTTATATAAAAAGTCTTATATAAAAGAAAGCCAATGAACTGGATGTTTGCCTATTAATATCACTCCCATTTAAGATTCATTTGATGTTTTTTTTAGATTTAATACCATTATCATCTCATGAAATATCAAGATATTATTTTTATTTATCAATTCAAATATTTTCTAATGAAATGTTGTGACATTTACAGAAATAATTGTTTTCCTACACCCCAATTTGTTTATATCTTAAAATGCATGTATGAAATGAAAATGTGAAATATAGGTATTGATGTTAAATTGTAGAAAAATTCTGAATTATTTCTATAATTATTTCCTGATTCATTCTGCTTGCTGATTTGTTCAAATTTCTTCCATATATAGGCCTATATCAGTTGTAGACAGCTGTAATGATGTTTAAGACGAGTTAGAACTGTATGATGGAGACAAACTAAAGTCATTGCTAACTTGGAAATTATAAAGCTAGTTTTTATGTCTTTAAAAAAGTTTTTGTAAAATTAATGCTTTAGGGCAATTTTAATTTCTAAAAGCATACACACAGTTATCAATTAAAAAATTAAACATGTTTAAAAACATTAAACATGTTTAAACATTAATTATTACTAGCAAGCTCCAGTGACCTATTAGTGCGTAGCATCTAAGCCTGATCTCTGCTGAGGCTGGAGATTGTTTATTTGAATAAAAAACACGTACAATAGAAATAAATGATGGATGTTAAGTGTTACCGGGAATAATCCCATGAGTTAGAGTTTTGCAAAGTACTGTCATTATCATCATCTGTATGCATCAACAGGCCGTGAGTGGGACACATTTTAGCTGCTTTTAAGCAGTAAGTGGGTTAAGAAAATGCAATCCTCATATAGCAAACTTCTCCAGAAATCTTTTAGGAGCGATCATCATGTCTTTCCATTTAGAGAATGTTTCAAATACTTCCAATCTGTTGTTTTGCTGCTTTTAACAAAGGCTATAAAATAAAAGCCCTTGTTTTTCCCACTTCTCCTTCACAGCATGGTTTATGGTTGGTGTCATGTAGTGCTTCATTTTATGAATTAGTATAGTCCCTATCTGAAAACAGGAAAAAAAAAAATATATGGACCGTTTTTTTTTGAAGCCCCATCCATAAAAACACAAACATGCCTGCAGACTTCTCACACAGACTTTTGCAGAGATGTTTTTTGTAGGATCACCATACTAATAAATGTACTTTAAAGCTTTGAATATATCAAGTGAAGAACATTTATAAGTATTTTAAAAGTGCAAATATTTTGGGGATAAATAGGGCACTGATTAAACATTTAACCCCATACCTTGAAGCTTTATTAATGGTTAATTTTCTCTCCCAAAAAAAAAACAAAACAAAACAAAAAAAGGATTTTTTGAATGAAAGTATAGTTCTCATCTATTTTTTTTTTTTTATCATAAGCAGCTCAGAGAAGAATCAAAGTATGACAGCAGCTGAACCCAGGCCTGTTGAATCCAGTAAGATTACTGCTTAGTTTCATGAAGGTTAGTTTTCAGCAAAGTGAGATCACTGTTCTCCTCATCCCTATTTAGAACAGTAGGCTATCACTAAACAGCCTGCTGATGTGGCCTGTGTACCGTGAAACCTGTAATTAGCCTGAATTTAGCCTTTTGACCCCCCCTGCCTGAAGTCCTCCTCACCCTGAACCTAACACCCCGCCTCCATCTAATCAGGCTGATCCTGAACACCTGCAGCTGGCTGGCGGTGCTTATCGCCCGGCTTCACGTCTCCATGGCGCCGCTTTACGACCAAACAAATAAATATTGTAGATGAAACACACAGGAACGGAACGCTGCAACTTCTGAGTATCGATAACTTATTTATATTTCCTCTTATTTAAATTTAAAGGCTACTTTTGACTCTAATGAAATGCCATTTTAAATAATAATTTAAAACGGATAATTAAGTTACACAATTTATAAAATAATAATAATGATAATAATAAAATACAATTCTTGAAATTGAAATAAATAATTTACCCACTACATCTAAGTTTCTTCAACATCTAAAAATAATATTTTCAAAATGCTTATCACTGAATTTTTAGTCATTAAAATAAAATAAGCAAACAAAAACTACAAAACCAATTAGCTGTGATTTGAATGAATGGAAACATTATTTAACCTCTGACACCTTTACAAGCCATTTAACAGTCAGAGGTCAGGGGCCTCAGGCCCCGGCTTCCCATGCTCTCTGCTCCACGGGAGCCAGAGAGAAAAGAGAAATATATAATACATAAATAAGGCCTACATATTGCTATGAATCGTTAGGAAGTCTAATGTTTTCCTGTGCATCATGATGGCCAGAAATCCACAAAGTCGAATTTTTCTCCCAGTAAGATTAACCTTGACAACAAAGCATTCCTCGTAGGACGTCAGATAGGAGATGTCTGGAAATGGCTGCACAGGCAAGCAGAGGGGTCACATTCTCAAAATATCAGCCAGTGTGGCATTATAGATGAGTGATGATATCTTCTGGAGGAGGGGTTGAAAAATTAACGCCCACTATTAGAGAATTTATTTTTTCTACCAGGTAATATAAAGGTAAAAAGCAAAATGTATTTTCATTCATTTCTTCATCAATTTTACCTAAATGCTTTACAGAATAGCTTTTACCCTTGAATAACTTATTTTTTCTGCATTTGAGGTTTAGATTTTTTTCTCCAAAGTTTTTTTGTTGCATTTATTGAAAAATATTAATAGGAAAAGGTTAACCCAGATTTACTTTAACATTTTAGTTCCTTCCTACTCTAATTTCAATAAATGTAGTCTCTGTGTGTTTGTGTGTGTGTGTGGCCATGTCTTTAATACCTGGTGGGGACAATTTCCTAGGAATATGCTACATTTTGGGGACTCATAGGTACTTGTGGGGACCAACAACTGGTCCCCATAAGGAAAGTTTCTCTTCTTGGGGTGGGGGTTAGGTTTAGGACTAATGTGTGAATTGAGTTTAGGTTAGGTTTAGGGATAGGTATGTGTCGGTAATGGTTAGGGTTAGGGCAAGGGTCATGGTTAGGCCATATAAATTAGTGGGATATGAATGGAAGTCAATGGAAGGTCCCCACAAGGATATTGTGACACAACATGTGTGTGTGTGTGTGCTTCCTTATATCCAGGTGCAGATTTCACCCTTTGAATCTCTGTAATGTTTAGACAGCTTTCAAATCTTGACTGCCAATAACTGTAGCAACAGCAGAAATCTCCACCTTTTTCAGGAGGGCAAATCCGGACAGACAGTACTGAACAATGCTATCTGCACCCCCCACCCCCCGTTTTTGCAGAGAGCACTACAAGTTGAAGATTTGCACAGAGATTATTTATTTTACAGATACAGAAGAGCCTTTCTGCTTTGTTTTTAATTACTTAGAATTGCTGCAAGTCAGTGCCATGGTGCAAGCTCAGAACGGCTCAAGATGTTCATAAATTTCCTTTTGTTTTTTTTTGTTTTTTACCTTAAGCAGAAAACAATTTTCGATGTATTCTGACCTCCTCTCTGATGAGCTCAACATGCAAACATCTCGTCTACTAACCTAGAAGGTTCATGGGACTATATATAACGTATGGCTTTTTTGAAAGCAATAAAAACAACACAAATCAAAAAAGTGCATCATAAAGAAAAAAATAAATCAGTTCCAGTCTGTGATCAAAAGTCTTGTCCTGGTTAAGGAAAGGCTCTTCCTTTTTCTTTAGCCGGATGGCTTAATGTCTGCACCGCTCAAGTAGGAGCTGTTCCCATTTGAGTTCAAAGGTCAAAACGGAGCCATCTGAGGGCTTTCAAACAGGTGTCCTCGCTTAGATGCATTTCCTTTAAATAAATATAACAGGATTTATCCAGCAGAGGGGAGTCTTAACCTCTGATTAAACCCCACATGTTGCAGAAACCATTAACAGAGGGAGCTGCGTTGAGTCCCTGCCTGCTAGGTTTCCCATAGTGCCGTGCGCCATCATCCTTGACAGACAGCAGTCATTATCTGGGCCCATAGTCATAGTTAGAGGGGCCGCTGGTTGCTGAGTACATGTTTGTGGCGGGATTCATGTGGTGATGGTACGTGTGTCCTCTGATGCTGGGTAAAGGGTAAGGCGAAGGCCTGGTCTTGGCTCCCAAGTAGTGTTCATAAGCAGTTGGGTATTTGTAGGGATGGTGGTGCAGGGTGTCCGGGGGCAGGGGGTGAGGATCAGGCCGGAGGTCGTGGGGAGGGCTCGGTCGGCCGCTGGTTAGCGGGACGGCGTGAAGTCCTCCTGGGACCGGCAGAGCCGGGCTGAGGACACGAGACATCAGCTGGTGGGCCGGATCTGCGTGAATTGGGGTTCCGCTTGGATCTCCTTCATATTCCCGTCTGGAATCTTCTGCAAAGGTTTGGTAAAAGAAGAGTTAAAGAAAATTAGACAGAAGAACACCTCAGCAATTAGGGATACAGTAACACTGATTGGACTGAAGCTATAGACAAATATTTAATCAATTACCAGTAGCATAAAACAGCCTAATATAATAGTACAAATTGGAAAAGTGCAATAATGTTGAACTATTAAAAAAATAAAACACTGATTTATTTCACAGAAGACTCGCAGCTTAAATTGAATCTATGGAGGAAAACCTAAAAATAAACCTGCAAATAAAATTAATAATATCATCTCTACAGCTAAGATGGAAAGCTCTGCTTAGGTTACGTTTGTTCCCAGACAGCTAATAGCTATATCAGTCATCATTACTTCAAATTACAACAAAATAAAATCTAATTTTCCTTTCTGTTTCTGTAGTGCTCTAAGCCTGTTATGCAGCAGCATAAACACTTCTATTGTGTTGCCAGAGCATGAAACAGGCTGGCTGATTTCTGATGTTTAATTTAAAACCAACAATGTTCTGATGCAGCAAACGCACCACTGCACCTCAGTCAAGGATAAGAAGTAAAAAAAAAGAAGAAAAGGAAAAGAAGACCAATGGCTGACAGAAATACAGAACTACAAACACAGAAGAGCTCGCTGAGGCTATGCTGGATGTTTGATAGCTATCAAAAGATTTAAAAATAAAAAAAAAGAGCTGCAGACCTTTTTCTGTGCCGTTCTGCTGAGGGGGAGATGACATTGGGTTTCTGGTTCTGGCGAAGGCACTCATTATTGGCAGAGAGCCTGGCCGGTGATTCCTGGGCCTGCAGCAACAGACTGGAGTCAGCTTCAAACTCCCACAATGATTTTCACAGGCACAGCATTTGTAACATTTTAGGAGATGAATAAAAAATTTTTTATTCTTTCATCATGTTTGTGAGAATTATTATACATTTGACTAATTAAAATAGAACATCATGTAAAATGTGAAGCTTAACATAAAATAAATGCTTTTAGTTCTGATACTTGGTTGTATTTCCTTTAATTTAAATTATTAACACACATTTTGAAAAATTCTGTGTGCATGTTTCATGAATCTGCACACTCTGCATGGGTGGGGTTTGTTCCAACACTCCTCTATTTAGAGTCAAGCGGTTCGTCAGTGACAGACAAACACAGCTGATTGACTTTTAAACAATATCCACTGAAGTGTGCGATTCACGGTCCAACACTGGGCTTCTAACAGAACTCCACCCATGTGGCAACCCTGCATGCTATCCGAAACAATGAAACCAATTTGTAAAAAAAATTATTTCTGATCTGCTTGACTCCATTTTTTTCTGCGTTAGTGTTTATAGCATGTGAAAATAATGTCAACATGACTGTAATGTTTAAGTGTGAATAAAGCTCACCAGTCCTCTGGGTCACAGTCCCTGAAGCCCTTTGCAAACGGATTACTGGCTATCTTCAGCTGTGTGATCTGCAAAGTATCAGAAAACAAAAAAATCTAATCTCATTGCTTAAGACACAATCTTCTCGGTTTTAAATGTCATAAAAAAAAACATTCTTGACAGGTAGGCTAATATTAATATAATCATTATCTGATTATTTTCAAGAGCTCCATAATTGCATTAATAAAATATCATTGTGATATCAGTACCATCAGGTTTTATTAGAAATGATGTATTAAGTTTGAGCCTTAACTGCAAACAAAGCTTTACTGATATCTGCTATAAATCCATAAACTGAACTGCACTGCAAAAATGATCTAGAAAGAAGTAAAAATGTCTTAAATCAAGTTTATTTACCCTTAATTTTAGTATGTAAATTAGATGATTTGCTAATAGAATGAGTATGTTTACTCTTAAAATAAGATAATTAGATAATATGCGCTTGTAATAAGACAATGGAGTTATTTTTTCTTATTTTAAATGTCAATTGTCTTGTTCCATACGCAAAGTGTCTCACTTACCTCCGCGGTTCAAAACAAAATGCACTTATTTTAAGAAACAATTACTTATTTAGGTTTCTATTTTTTTCCAGTGCGGCATAAAGTTGGCATACTTTTTTCTAAATAAACAAAGAAACATTTAACTAACTAAATATATAAATTAACAAAACTTGGAAGCACTTGTTTAAACTTTACTGTGAATTAAAAGGATGTGTTTTATCTACACTAAGAAAAAAAACTATTAAAAAAATAATCTGTTCAAATATTATTTATTTTTTAGCTGAGAATATTTGGGAGAAATGAATAAACGCGCTGAAATGAGCGTCTATAGAGATTAAAGGTTGAATCTAAACCAGAGGTGGGAAAACACAGAATAAATATTTGGAGCTGAAGAACCGAGATCTAAAAACGCACATTTAACCTAGTTTAATCCATTTATTCATAATCGAACACCATCGCCTCTAATAAATCCAATGATCAAGCTTAGTGCTGCTTGTTTGAACTTTAAAACGTGTTAAATGAAGGTTTTCTTTAATGCTCTGAGATGTGAAGACAATGCGCAGCGGAAACATGCCTTACCCGGTGGTTCTGGTAGGCTGTGACCGCCGTGAAACGAGTCTCCTCAAAAACAAACGTTTTATAATTTTCCTCCGCGTATTTCTCGCTGTCTTTGCGGGGATCAACATAAACCACATGGAACCTGGGCTGGTAGCGGTGCATGGAGTTCAGGATGATCTGCAAGACAAAGGGAAAAATCATTTCACTCTATTCTCCATACAGCCCTGCTATTGTGTAATATCGCGTTAATTAATAATCAATAGAAAAAAGAGCAAAAATAACGCATGGAACAAATATCCTGGATGCCAATAAATTCTCCGCGATTAACAAAACACATAAAAAAATTATTTTAAGAAGAAATCATATTTTCAAAGCCAGCTGATAAATAAATTAACACCCAAATTATGAGAAAATGCATTTGCGCAATAGACCCCAGATACCACATCAGTCTGATATTAATGCGAGTATTTTACTGCGTTTTCATCACCACTCTTTTTAAAATGTCTTTTTTTTATATATACTAATGTAGATAATAAAAAGAGGAAGTTAAAGAAGTTATATCCTCCATTTTTATCCATGTTCACAAATATGTCCTTATTATCCAGAAATGTCTCATCTATTGAGGGCTCAACTTCTCTCTTGTGATGTAATAGTTTATCATAGTTAAAATGCTTTATAGGTTAGAGCTAAATTCTCTTCCTTTATGTTTAAACACCGTGAAGATGAATTGATTATTCGGGCCCCGTGACGCAGGACAGATGGCACCGATTTGTTTCTCTGCGCGGCTCCGTTTTCAGCGCTTTTCCTTTCGCTGTACTCACATGTCCGTTGTCATCCAGCAGGTTGTTTGTTAATTTGAGTTTATCGAATGAGACGATCTGCTTCATCCACTGAGCGCCTTTGGCTGGAGAGTCCGGGTGGTAATGCACCCTCCCTGGGGTGGCAGGATCCGCTTTACCCGCCACGAGCCACGACGAGCTGTGGAAAGCATACCTGGAAGGGCAATAAAAAAAAAAAAAAAACATCAGCAAAAATGGATTATGCAGGTTTATGCATGCCAATATAAAATAATAACAATATCTATTAAGAGGGAAAAAAGGTTTTACACTACAAAAACGATCTAGAAAGAAGTAAAAAATTCTTAAATTAAGTGTATTGAGCCTTAATTTGAGTAGGTAAATCAGATGATCTACCAATGGAATGGGTATTTTTACTCTTCAAGTAAGAAAATTAGATAACAAGCACTTTAAATAAGACAATGCAATTACTTTTTCTTATTTTAAATGCAAATTGTCGTATTGCATTGGCAAAGTGTCTCACTTAACTCCTCAATTCAAGAAAAAACGCACTTATTTCAAGGAAAAATTACTTTTTGGGATTTCCTTGTTTTGCAGTGTACAATTATAAAACACTGGATTTGAACTCAGTAATAATGGTAATTTTTTATTTGTATTTATTAGTATAAGTAACCAATAAATATATTTTTTTATACATTTACATTCATATTTCTGTCATTGTTTCCCCCTTGTTTGGTTCAATTTCATGCTTCAAAGTTGTGCTCACTTAAATAGAAATAGTATATATATAAAAAAGAAAAGGTTACCTGTATCGTTTGTCATCTACAGGCAGGAAGTCCATCAGGAGCATGTAGTCTGCCATGGGATCCATCCCAAATATTTTTACTTGGAATGTTGGAAACATTCTCCTAAGAGGGGAAAAAAAAACACAGGATGGCTGTTTAATTTTTAGCTTCAGTTTGCATTTCCTTCACACCATATGACGTAAGGCCCCGTTTCCCTACAATCCGATTATTTTGTTGTTGACTAAATTACGGGAAATCTTGGGATAAAAAATGAAGCTTGCCTAAATATAAGCGCCAGCAGGCATATTGCTAAAGGCCCAATTTAAACTAGAATGACTTTGCTCCATATTTAAAAAAAAAAAAAGTCTGCAACCACTCAGTGCGTAATGGAGGCTCTCCAAAAGCAGATTATTGGGGATTTTTTTTTTTTACAGTAGGACTCTGAATCTCATTATTTTTCAAATATATCTTCTTCTACTTCTTATCGTGTCTCTTATTGAATCCCAGATGTTTTGAGCACAAATGTAAATAGATCCGCATCCGGGAGTTAATCTGGAGGGATGAGTGTCGCTAATTCGGTTAATTCTGAATCTTAATTTATTTGCTCCTAAATAGGACAGTTTAATTTTAAAACAAAATCAAATTGAAGCGTTTGTATATTTATATATATTTTTTTAAATATATAAGGTTTTCTGGAAGAGTTGCTGTGTTCCTGCTGGAGGTTTTGTTGAGTCTCCTTCAACCCTTTAAGGTTTGTTTTTGACCTAAAAATTGCTGAAGAACCTGAGTGGAAAGTTGAGTAATCCAGCAGTGGAGTCAGTGAAAGGGATCCCAAAATCAACGCTCAATTAACATCAGTGTTGTGGCTAGGTGAGGCTGAAGGAGCTTTTAAAGTGCTCTGCAGCAGATCTCCTTTCTCCTGTCAAGCTGTGCAGAGAGGGGGGACTGCAGGGAAGCAGCTTTCCACCCTCTCATTACCTCTGTTTTCTGCCTTTAAAACGGTACAGGTTTCACAGTAGAAGGTTTTAAACCTCTTTACTTTGCTTATTTAATCATATAGTTTTAATGCCCAATTTACTAAAACAATAAAAAAGCATATTAACGACGGCTTAATTTAAAACTTAAAAGCAGCTATTTATGAAGAAAATGAAAATAAAGAGATGATAGCTTTATCAATTAGATTTTAATTCAAGTGAAAAAAATTAAAGCTCATGGATGCAGCTGAGTAAAACGCATTTCTATCAACCTGTAGGGCCTTTTTTAAATTTCCTTAAAATAAAACTCTATCTTTATATAAAAAAAATAAATTAAAATAGAGCAAACTGAAAACCACTTTTGAAAAGGAAATTATAATTTTTCTTTTGAAGAAAATGCCTATTTGGATAGTCATAAAAATCCGAATCAAAGACGCATAATCGGGCAGATAATAATTTAAAACGAACATATATTCATATGAATATATGAATATTCATATATACATATATATAAATATATGATATATATGGTGTAAAAATGAGCTGGTAGGCTAATACACGTCCTGTTTTAAAAAAAAATTAAATAAAAAACAAACAAAAAAGATGTTTTGGTGATGCAATATTTACATTGTTACTACTTCCATTTAATAATAATAATAATAATAATGCATTACTGTCTGTGTTGCAGATCATTCTCTGCACATTTTTCACTCCCTGATCTGGTTTGTTGCAGGAAAACATGTCCGATCTTTTCCTTGTGGCCCAGATTTGCCGCAGATCTCACCTGCCAGCCTTAGTAACGATCATCTCCGTCCCCAGCTGATTAAACTCGTCCCATAAAGCCTTCATCTCCAGCTGGACGCTAATGTTGGCCACCTTAGGGTTTTTCTTCACGATACTTTTGCTGTTCGGTGTGGAGTTGGAGGACGACGAGGAGCAGTTGGCGGTGCCGGTGTCGCTCTGTGGGCCCTGGCTCTGCGCCGGGTTGGATCCCGGGTAGTTGTAGTTGTGCTGGGCGGCCGGACAGGGCTCGAAGTGGGACTCATGTTGGCTGTAGGGGTCCCCGGGGGACGGGGAGAGGTGGTAGCCCCCCGGCGTGTTGAGGCTGCTCAGGCTGCTCGTGGTGAAGGCTGCAACATCGCAAAAATGGGACAGCTGCGTCAGCCACGGGCTGGATATGGCTGAAATCATCCCAGAAAAAGCGCCTTTTTAAAAAGCCGAATAAAAGACAAACAATAAAACAAGAAGCAGGGTGGAATAATTTCCCCGGTGCTCAGTGGATCATTAGTCCCCAAGTTGCGTCCAGAGAAGAGAGGTCAGTCTCACTAAAAGGCTTCCTGATCTAAAAACAACAGACTTCCCAAAAGTGACGAAAGATTCCCAAAAAGTGGGGAAAAAAGTTGAAATGCTCTCAGATACGCGCTTGGATTGAGCTGCTGCTGCTGCTGCTGTTTTCCTTCAGATCGCTGCGCTCTGACCGCTCTGTGCGCCACTGCTGTGTGTTAAACACCGCAGCGCAGTCTCCTCTCTTATCTGGCACAGAGGGCCTCCCCTTCGCGATAAAACCGGTTCTTATTTCTATTTAGATAGCGAACTGCAGGTAACCTGCCTTTTCCTCGCACTGGGACGAAACTGATTGACAGAGAAGTGCGCCCCTTTTAATGGTCTTTCCGGCACCTATTGAACTTTTTGGATAAGGGTATCGCCCACATTTGCCTCCGTTAACAAACAAAAGACGATCCGGGCTGCAGAGAAGAGTGTTCAAGGTAAACACTGATTTGCATGAACAAACAAACAGGCTGCCGGTGGCTGTCGCTATCTAGCTTATAGACAAATACGCGAGTGGGATGGATTTGCACCCCCCTCTGAGGTGGATAGGATTATTATGGTCTGTTTTTACCATTACGCACGGGGCGCCCCTGGAAACCCTCCTCCTATTGGCTTCTTTCTCGACGTGTTCTTTTTACGAATTAGTGCTGACTGAACGCTGAGGAGTTTGGGGAACCTTTTGCCTCTTCTTTTCTGCTGCAATCAATGCAACAGCGATCACACTTTCTTTAAAGAATATTATATATAATTCCGTCCATGCACGCAGCGCGCCAACAAGTGCTTCTGTTTGCCCTAATGAGCACACTTCAGGTGTTTAAGCAATTTCTGGGGTGTGCGCATGCTACAGCAGCCCATACGGACACGAACAAACACATTTACCTTCCATTTCCCTGGTGACAGTGCTGTAGTGCATTTTACAGTAACTCTGGCTGTCCAGACCGGTGCCCTGTTTGTCAAAAGCTGCGTTTCCTGCTTGCTCTGCACCCGAAATCAGAGAGGCAATACTGAAAGCATTCGCCTTTGGAGAGAGGGGACCAAAGTCGTCCATAGGCAAGGGACCGAGTCGTTATAAGCCGACCCTCCTCCTCCTCCAACACCAAAAACCACCACTTTTTCCTTTGCTTTCCAGCCCCACAGAGAGCAGAAGGAGGCTCCGCACGGTGCAGGAGAACATGCGCTAAAAGGGAGTTTCTCACATTCCGCCACCGGCCGCTGAGCAGTGCGGGAGTCGGACTTGAAGCGCTTCCCCGAGAGTAGTCCAGATACAATGTTCTTTTTTATTTTTGTTTCCCCAAATGGATCAAAATGTAGAGCATCCGCAGATAGTCATCTGTCCTGGCGTCTCCTCCGGCTGCTTGATGGGGCGGTGTTGTCTGAGTCGTGCAACGAAGAGATTCCACCACTGCCACGAGAATGTCAAAAGTGAGCGAGACAGATCCACGCCTCCCCTTGCACCACTGCAGGAAAAACGCGTCCTGCGCTCTGCGACCAATGTTTTATTTCAAAAAGTTCATGTTACTCATTTGAATTGAACTGCAACGTCACTGAATGTCCGGCTCCCAAAAAAAGTTATTTTTTTGCACTAAATGATCTGACGCACATTAGTTCGTGTAGTTTGCGCATTTTTTGTCGACCTGCGCACAGAAAAGCGTCAGAAGCTGTTGGAGTTTCAATCAAATAAGAAACCTCGCATGGCAGATGACACCTCTCCTCTATTTCGAAGGTTTAATTATTTTAAAGTTCTGAGATGATTGATATAAACAGAAACTCTTGATGGTTTTGCAAAATTTGGATATTTAGGGAAGTTACTGCAAACTTTTTAAACTCAACAACATAATTTTTTTTCTCATCTCAGTTATCATGATAACCGTCACTGTCTAATGTTTAGATTGTTTAATCTGATCTTATATCTAAATTGAAGCTTTTTTTTAACAATAACATTAACATGAAAAAAAAGGAACAATATATTCTTCAATTAAACAGAAGGAGATGGAGAGACTGCATGAGTACCGCAGGCCTGAGCTGGACTTGACCTTATGCGCCGATTCTCCTCCTGTTTCCTTCAGCTTATTGGGGTTCAGCCACATGTTGGTGACTGAAAATGAAGTAAAGTGATCGAAGTTGCTTCAATCTAAGCGAATAGAAATGATAATGAGATGAAGCGGATGGAGGATTTAAAAACTGTTTGTTTAGGATGTTGCTCAGTGGGAGTCAGAGAGCATAAACAAACTACTGACACATGATCTAGATAGATAGATAGATAGATAGATAGATAGATAGATAGATAGATAGATAGATAGATAGATAGATAGATAGATATACATAAATAGATATATATTTATAGATAGTTACATAGATAGATATAGATAGGCTATTTAGATAGATAGATATAGATAGATAGTTATAGATAGATATAGATAGATATATATTTATAGATAGATAGATCTATAGTTATAGATATATAGATATATAGTTATAGATAGATAGATATATAGTTATAGATAGATATATAGTTATATAGATAGATAGATAGATAGTTATACATAAATAGATATATATTTATAGATAGTTACATAGATAGATATAGATAGATAGGCTATATAGTTTAGATAGATATAGATAGATAGTTATAGATAGATATATATTTATAGATAGATAGATCTATAGTTATAGATATATAGATATATAGTTATAGATAGATAGATATATAGTTATAGATAGATATATAGATAGATAGATAGTTATAGATATATATAGTCATAGATATATAGTTCTAGATAGATAGATAGATAGATAGATAGATATACATAAATAGATATATATTTATAGATAGTTACATAGATAGATATAGATAGGCTATTTAGATAGATAGATATAGATAGATAGTTATAGATAGATATAGATAGATATATATTTATAGATAGATAGATCTATAGTTATAGATATATAGATATATAGTTATAGATAGATAGATATATAGTTATAGATAGATATATAGTTATATAGATAGATAGATAGATAGTTATACATAAATAGATATATATTTATAGATAGTTACATAGATAGATATAGATAGATAGGCTATATAGTTTAGATAGATATAGATAGATAGTTATAGATAGATATATATTTATAGATAGATAGATCTATAGTTATAGATATATAGATATATAGTTATAGATAGATAGATATATAGTTATAGATAGATATATAGATAGATAGATAGTTATAGATATATATAGTCATAGATATATAGTTCTAGATAGATAGATAGATAGATAGATAGATAGATAGATAGATAGATAGATAGATAGATAGATAGATAGATAGATAGATTGTATTTCTCTCATTGGATGGCAGTCTGTTTATCATAGATCAATGGCGGGTCGGAAGCCCCCAGGTGCTAACAGACAGAAAACAGAGTCGGACAGAAATGGGATGCAGGAATCCACCCCTCATGTCTCTCATCAGGGTGGTAATGGCCTTTAGCGCTGCGCAAGTGGAAACAACAACCACAGTTCAGATTAAAAAAAGAAAAAAAAGAAAAATCCATAAATAAAGTTTTGACTTTCCGTAAATGTTTCCTTTGTCCCTAAAAAAAAGCAAAAGAGCAACAACGCACCTCAAACAAACAAAAAACAAGGTACAATATATTGTAACTTTTTTTTTTTTAGAATAAATGCACTAACATGTTTTAACAGTATTAAATAATGCAAATAAGAACAGATTTTATTCAAACATCTAAGTTTAGAATTAAAATAATACATGCATTCTTACTTTGATAAGAGAAACTAAATTGGATATTTGGGTTAAATGTCATCTCAGATGTCTGACAGAGAACCCATCAGTTGTATGACGAGGAAAATATTTACACTAAAAAAATAAAATAAATCTTGTTCTGGATAAATGCTGAAGCGAGTGCATATATATCCAGCTGGTTTCCTGAGGCAGTGGAACATCAGGGTAAGTTAACATGGAAATTAGGAGGAAATCAAAAGTTTATTCTCACTTTAATGATGTGTTGTGGTTTCATAAAAATAAGCTGTTATTTTTCTTTTCAACACAGAAGAAAAAACCTCACAGTAAGCAAAAAAAAAAAAAAAAAAGAGTAGATTTTACATTTAATATAGTTAAATATGCTGGAAAATATAACTTCAGTCTTTCGCATGCAAAAGCTTTAATAGCGCATCAAGCAAATGGATGATCCTGAAGCTTAATGGCTCCTGTGGAATAAACTAAAAAACAAACACTTTCAGTGATTCATTTATAATTCTTACATAGATTGTTTTTCATTTTAAACACCGAACTTCAGAAACACGTGTAAATTGCGTCCAAAAAATACAAAATATCTGAAGGAAATCCACTTTTATAGCAAAACAAAATGAGTAGCTTTCACCAATGACAGGCTTCAGACTATACAATGTTTGTCTGTTTGCTGACAGAAGGATTCAATACGGGACCTTTCAGTACAGCTGCTCTGCCAGCTTTAAATAATACGCCTAAAAACATTCAACTTTATTTACCCTTAATTCTAGTATGTAAATAAGATGAGTATTTTCTTAAAATAAGATAATTATAGATGCGCTTGTAATAAGACAATCCTGTTACTTTTTCTTATTTTAAATGTCAATTGTCTTGTTCAATTGGCAAAGTGTCTCACTTACCTCCTCAGTTTAAGACAAAATGCACTTATTTAAAGAAACATTGACCTATTTATGTTTCTATTTTTTGCTGTGTGAACTGTTATAGAAAAAATAGAGTTACAGGAAAAGCAAGGATGCTGTGAATCTTTATGGGAGATTTACTTATTAGAAAATAGAGGAGCTTTTAAAGTTTTCTCCTGCAGATTTCTTCTCTTCTATCAAACTGCGCAGAGAGGCAATAATGAGCCAATAGTTAGAAAGCAAAAATAATGTTTTTAGATAGAGGTTTACATATGTTTGGCAATGATTCTGTATTATAATAATAATAACAGGAATAGTAATGATTATTATTCTATGAAAAAAAGGATATTTAAATAATATATACAGAGAAAAATAATTTTCTAGTTTTTACGCACCGAATAACTTCTTTTGCCACAAGATAAATCAGTGTTATTACAAACGTAGCTGTAAATCATGGGTCCTAACACGCTTAGGTTATAATTACGTCTCCCCATGCAGGATAGCAGGTCTGCTCGTTCCCCTGCAGTCTTTTGTTCATCTCTGGCATCTTCATGAACGGGAGGCCTGTGTGGTCTTGCGCGTCCCGTTGTAGGAACACGGCACAAAAGCAAACCTAAAAAAATTCTGATCCATTAAACTGGCGCAGATGATCTGGCGTCAAGGCTCACTGGCAGCCATTTTTAGTTCTTATTGGTAAACACAGATAGGTCTGAGTCACCTTTGCGCAGCGCGCGCCTCTCTTCCCTCTGCAATAAAACAGCGGCTCCCATGATGTGTTATTAACAGAGGATGTCCAGGTGTCCAGGCTTAATTGTAAAGAGCCGCTTTCTATTCCAGAGATGCTGGTAAAGTTATTATTAGCGCGCCACAGCTTCTCCTGCTAATCAGAAAATCAACAATTTCACATTCTTACCCCGTGGCGTGGACTGTGTGGCGCACTGCACTTATAAAACCCTATCCTGTCTAAATATTAGTCTAAATCTTGGTGCAAGAAGGAGAGGAAGCCGACCGATGACAGGAGAGGGCCCGGGCTGTCCGGTCTCTCTGCGGGGCCTGGGGGAATGTGCGGAGAGACGCGCGCAGTTACGCAGAGGAAAGTTTCCAAAAGGTACCAAGCAGCACTGGGAAATTTATAGAAGGAACGGAAAAAATACAACAACGTAGAAATATATATATATATATAAACAGTAAGCTACTTGATGAATGGTTAATCTTCTAAAAAAAAAATAAAAATAAAAGTTTAGAAGACGCTTTAAATACATAAGTTAATAATAAAATGCTTAAGTTCATTAAAAGGGATTAAATATGTGACTCTTAATAGGTAGCGCTTTGATTTGTGTGCGTAAATAAATGTGTAATTAAAATGTATGTTGTCAAGATAAATAAAACCCCTCTGCACTTTAAGCTGAAATTAAAATGGTCATTTATTTTTTTTATTTTCAGGGCATGCGGCTAATTATTTATCCGACCTCCTTTTCTTGGCGAATAATAATAATAATAATAATAATAATAATAATAATAATAACAATAATAATAATAATAATAATAATAATGATTATAATAGTGAATCAGTTTGAAGGTTTCCTATCAGATAAAAAGCAGGTGCAGGTATCCTGGCGCCCAGCGGCTCTCATTTTCTCGGCCTCCCTATTTTGTGAATGCTTTCATTCTCTTCTCCATTTTTACACTCACCAGCAGCCCCCATGTTCCCTGAAATGACACGACAAATATGTTTTTCCAGCTCAAAATATTATGCTACAGTGATAAGTTCTTCTTTAGTGCCAATCGATAAATATTTTACTTTTAATAATCTTAATTTACTCTAAAATTATTGTTTTCGTTGAAAAAAATAGAAGATCTTATTAGTTTCGTTTTTATTTTGTTTTCTAGCTATCTAGAGAGCATTTGAATGAATTTTAATGTCATGGTTGACGGGATGCTGCGCTCACCTTGTGCTGCAGGTGTCTGCAGATTTGCATCACTAGTGACCTTTCACTGATCCATAAAGTCGACTTGATTCTCAATCCAAAGTCTGGAAAAGTTGATGGTGCACTTATCTGAACCAAAATGGAGAATAATCTGCTAAAACATCTGTGTCCTCTGATTATTTTAGTCCCTTTTTAATCTTTAGACATAAAACAAATCTTTTTGTTTCAATTTGGAAATGACAGATTTATGTATTTACTTTTTGTATATATGTATATAAAAAAAGCTAATTTCCTTCTTGGCATTTAAATGTTGTTTTCCTGTCCAGCCTTGTTCTCTTGTACTTTCTGGAGGTCATCAAAAAAAGGACATGAGTATAAAACACAATGAACAGGAACACAATGGCTGTCCAAAGGTGAAAAAAATGATTCCCTTGTGTCAGACGCATGCAGAGGCACAAAAATTCCCACATATAAAAAAGAAAGAAAGGAAAACTTTAAAGTTGTATTCTTTATTCGGAAAAAGATGTAACATGAAACAAAATGCAGGTCAGCATTTTTTAAAAGAAACTCCATAAAGGGCTTGATATGGATATCTATTACCAGAAATAGTTTCTTTATTGTTTTTTTCTTTTATTTGTTCAAAATAATAGTTTGATGTTTTGGATCTATGCTGCTCTTTTCTCCTTTTTTTTTTTTTTTTTGGCATTTTCTTAATTAATTCAGCCCCTTAAAGGTGTTTGTTGGGTGAACAGAAGGTAGAAGAATGTGGCAACAGTAAAGCCAATAAGAGGATTTTGTAAAAAGAAGCAGGGGGGAATAAAATGGACCCTGAATATTCCACAATATATAGAAAAATGTCCAACTTTTTCCAACATCATTAATCTAGTGCTTGTCAGCTGATCATTTTATTCACACAAACCGAAGAATAAGTCTTTTTTTTTGTCCAATCTTCTTGTTTTGATTTTTAAAACTGTGCTATATTTCATCTTTAGTCAGTTTGTTTTCAAGGTCACTGTGTCTTTGTTGGTTAAAATGCAAACATGTATTTAATTTCCACATATTGGATTTAAAAAAAATCAATCTATAAAGATTGTTGAGGTGAAAGGAACATAAAGTGTTACTTTTGACCTTCCCCTTTTAAAGGTGCCTCTCTTACAAATGTCCGTTCTACTATTTATTTATGTTGGGAGCTTCATACGTCCTCAGAATCAGTGAAAACCTGACAGCTGCCAGCAGTGCCTCCCAACACAGTCCCTGGGATATTTTTCTGATGCTCCATGGCTACATCATTCTTTCAGGAGGAGACTCCTGAAATCTTATCTGAAGAATAATATTAAATGTAGTCTAATGTTTGGTTTCAGAAAATAATAAATGTAAGAATTATTTTCGTCCGCATTTATAGGTTCATATTCCAGAAAATTATAAATACAGCCTTTGTGGTCAGATTCGGTGAAGATATGTTGTGCAGAGTCTGAAAAAGGCAGAAAACAGTGTGGAATGTGCGTAGGACATCATAGGGGGGTGGTGGGGTGGGGGTCTGCGTTCCGACTCAGATCCCTTTTCAAAAATCACTTCTTCTCTTTCCCTCTCGTCTTTGTTTTAAAACTGGGAAGCTTTTAGCTTTTGAAAAGTATCCTTTTCCTATCTATGGCGCGGCGGTCCCGGTCGTCATCACCTCCCCTCCTCCCCCCCACAGCCCTATTGGAGTGCTGGTAAATAGCTGGCATTCCTGCCACAAAGAACTGATGATGTGGACCCGGGGCCTCCGTGATCTGTCCAAATTAATTAAGGCCTTTCTTCTCTCCGAGAAGGATATGCGGCCTTTGTCTCTCTAATACGTCTTGAGCCTGGTATTAAATGTGAGGGCAGAGTCTGTGCTCATTATAAATCTGTCACTGCCTGCTTGGCTCTTCTCAGCCACCCCCCCCCCCCCCGTCCTAAATAGGCTTCACTGTAGATCCTCCAGCCTGCCTCTCGCTCCTTGCCTCCTTCTTAGCTGCTCCCTACAGGCTTGGTATTTGTTTAAATATGAGAAGGCCTGCTTGTTGTTTCTGGCAGAGGAGGTTATAGGCTGTGACCCCCCCTCCTCTCCCTTCAGCCACAACCACCGTGTCATGCCCTTCACTCCCTAAGCATCTCCCATCCCATGTCTTTCTCCGTTTCCTTCCTCAGCCGGCTTCTGCTGGTTTGGTGAACTTGAACCAAAGGCCTCCTGCCAGAAGACCATTACAGATGCGTCCACTCTGCACATCCACCAGTGCATTGGTGTTTGAGTGCATGCATTAAAAAAACACATACACAGAGACTGCTTCTTTCCTTCTTTAATGCAGCTGAGTTTTTATTTCCTTTAACAGAAATCACAGCTTGGAGATGCTGATCTTTGTTCTTTCCAGTGGTTTTTTAGTTAGCCTCCCTTTGTCCTGCATCAAGACAGAGAAAAGTCCAGGACTGGTGAGGTGATGAGTCCCACCATCTGTCTGAAAATTTGAAAAGCTAAAGGCGTTTAGTAGGGATTTGATTGCAATCTCCTCTACAGCAGCGGGATCAGGATCACCTCCCAGCAGGAACAGGAAGTGGATAACGTCCATTGTCACCCCTGCGCCAACCCTAGACAGTAAAATTAAGGGATCATAGGCGTGCTGTGATTTGACCTCCAGGAATGCCAGTAGCACCCCCCCTCCCAGGCTGGAAACAGAGATGAGAGGATAGAAAGATGAGCTACAGTGCAGTTTTTGAAAAGGCGTACTGTACATTAAGGGGAAATTGTGCTTTTCCTTGTCATTTACTGCAGTGAAGAACAGCAAAGTCACACAGGACAACAACATGCTGAACGGAGCCAATCATTCTTTGCTTTTGGCATGACTGCAGGTCAGCTGATGATTGGCTCTCTTTCCATGTCGCAGAAATTTCCCCTTCCAGAAAGTGTTTACATTGAGCATAGCTCAGTGTAAAGTGACCTGCACATTTTTTACTCAGTTGTGGCCCAGCTCGGGATCGGCTGTATCTCAGTTCGTCAGGTCACACATCTCACTCTGAGGGTCTTGTCATCTAGTCACGCACAGAATGTGTCAAAAGTGGCCTCCGCCAATCGCTGCAAACACTCGGCAGTCTGATGCTAATTACAGCGATTCATCATGTCAGGCTCTCCCTGCCACCACATGTTTGTTTTGATCTCTTCCTCTGCAGCACAGTGACAGTGAAAGATGAGGGAACATGTGGCAGGGGCCGGCACTGCGCCACGAAAAACCAGCATCCGGGTCCCAGCTCGGTCCACAGCCCTAAGAACACGGGACTCCATATTGAAGTCTGGAAATTGGAAGCTCGGCAGGGAGTGGGGGAGATTTGAGCGGTGTGCTTAATGTGAACCCAAAAGTGTAACTTAAGGTGATGGGTGGGGGATTAAGGCATGTTGACTTGTGTTCACCAGGGGGCTAAAGTGACACTACGTCCCCGCTGAGCGGACAGTTCCTGAAGCCCCTGGAGTGGGCTGAAAGGTCTGGGTCACATTAAGAGGGGACTGTGTGGCCTCCATGGGTAGGCCACATAGGCAGCTTCTCTAAAACAAGCACTGCTGTGTCCGTGATGTCAAACACTTCCTCCCTCTGCATCCATTAGGCTACTTTGGTGGCGGCGAGGAACATTTGAGAAGCAAGGAAAAAGGTCCAGAGAATACATACCTCTGGTTAATAAAGACATTCTCTCACTTAAAATACATTTTTTAACACATTCTATTTTTCATAAATCAGCAATTTGATGTTCAATTTCCCTTCAATTGATAATTTTAATCCTAGTAACATGTTTTATTTTTTTATTAATCTGTTATTTAATGTATATTCTTAGGTTTGTGTTAAAAGGTAATTTATGTCTTTGAATTTGACCAATTATCTAAAAAATATAAATAATAAAAAAGGCTCCTTATATTTTCAGTTAAAAAAAGGAAAATAAAAATTTGAAAGAATTTTTTATTTTAGATAAGAATACAACAATGAGAAAACAATCAAATAAAATGTTACATATTTTATTTGATTATAAAATATGAAATTTATTTTCAATGTGTATTTTTAACTGTTTCAACATGAATTTTAAAATGAAACACATTCCAAATATTATAATTATTTTCATTTATTGTTCAAAATACATTTTATTTATCTAAAACAAGAAATCAATTGTTTATTTCCAACAACTACATAAATATAAGGAAACCTATATACATGAAAAATCTCTGATCAGGTCAATAATGAGGCATCAGTTATCTAAACCATGGTCTAGCTAACAGAAATAAAATAATTTCGAAAAAATGGAACAATTTCACCACTGGGAGAAATGCATAGAAAAAACACACAAGTAGGAAAATATATTTTACCCATGTCTGAAATTGGGATGAATAAATGATGAAACATAGAAATAAAGTCCCTGATGCTGAGCAGCAGAGCAAAAATATGTTGGGAATAAATCAAACTAATCATAAAACTTGAGCACCTTATCCTCAGAAATCAAGAGAGTTTCTACTTTCATCGATGAGTTTCGTTTGTTTACTAGCTTTCATGGGGTGTATTTACCCTTCAAATGTTCGCCATAATAATGCTCGCATAGAGGCATTCCATTGGCTCCTATCATCATCTCCCGCTTCGCAAAATGTGGTTCGACCTACTGACAGATGAACGAGGCAGCACCGACAGGCAGAAATCTTTCTCATCATACGTGTTGAAGCAGCCTCCCATGTGGCTCTGAGAGAGGGCCTCACCGCCGAGGCGCACCGAATGGGAAGAAGAAGAAGAAAAAAAATCACCCTGGTGTTTGGGTCTGATTTCTCAGCTCATTAATCCTCCCTCTGGTCATACAGTGTGTCTCGCAGACTGGCATCATTTAGCTATCTTGGAGGTAATGATATTTATTTGAACATGTCCTGTCCTGCTGGATATCTCTGACTCTATCTTCATTTCCTACTTACTGAGTTATGTTTACTTATAACCATGGCATCACTTTATCATTTTGGTCTCATTATTTTCTTTACTTCACAAAATGTGTATTTTGCTAACTGTAATTTAATCACAGTTTTTTGTTTGCTTGTTTTTTTTCTAACCACAGACAAAATACCTGAGAAAATTAACTGCAGTCAGAAATTATATTCTTTACAGTTTGTATGTAGGTAGCAGAATCAAAAGGAGAAAATATAAGCTCACTACTTGTGGGTTTTACTTTCTTGAAATAGTCCGACTCTTTGCAAGAGTGTATTTTACTATAATTAGACCTATTAAAACGATTTTTTATGAGATATGAGATAGTGTTTGCATCATATAATTTTAATGATAATGCTGCTTTCAGTTTTATTGTAGATCCCTGGCAGCACAATAACTGTGGGGAATGTGAGTGGGTTCATATATAGCAGGAGCTCCCCTGTGTGGTTTGCTGTTGCAAGAACACATGGCACTGGAGGGCAAAAGGTGGGCATGTGGGGGCCCAGGATCTGAGCGCTGCAGCATGAGGAAGGGCCCTCTGCATCCTGTTTTTGCGGAACAGAGATACCAACAAGTCCACATATGAATGTTGGATATAGCTGATTAAAAGCAGGTGATTCGCGGTAATATAAGCATCTCAGTTCTGAGTGCTCACTTCTCAGCCTGTGTTCATTTTGTTAAAACCACACCCAGAAATTTCTATCATCGCGCTTTTCTCTGTACATGACATAGTTATGACAACAATTCCCCCAATATTCATACATGCACCTCATGCAGATCCATGCAACAGTTCTGGTGTTTAGGTGAAGATATATGCTGATGGAAGCTGGCGAAACCTCCTCATTTATGCTATTTGGTTGGAAGGCTTTTTAATGTTGTCATCAGTCGCTGTTTGGGATATTTCTCAGCTTCGGAAGCCGCCCAAAGCGGGATCAGGTGTCCATGCTGAATATGTTAAGATTGCATGAGCTCTCTCTGGACACTGGACACTTCACTGACCCCCTCACCTCCACACCCTCCAAATATTTACCTGACTTGTCTCCGTGGGTGGTGGCCCATCTAAAGAAACATGTATACACACGTTCACAATGATGGATTTTGTAGCATACACACACAAGAGCTTCGCTGATTTATGTTTTGAAAGTCGATATGGATGTTGTTTAGGCCAAAGTTATTTTTCTACTTCCATATCTAAAAATATGTATTTTTTTGCCCTGAAAGAGAACACATAAATCATTATCTTTTTTTTTTTTTTTTTTGGTTTGTTTTCCTTAAGGCTCTAAATATTCTTGAATTCTCAAAGTCATGCAAAAGTATTCTTATGAAATAAAGAAATCAATAAACATGCACATTGGTAGATAACTCTAGAGACATACAAGCTGGCAAACAACACACATGCAAATCCATTCCCCAGTCAGGCCTCGTTAGAGTCGACACTTTGAAGTTGTCGGCTGCTTGTTTACTGATACAAATTAGCACGCTGGCAGTCTTCAGAGGAGCAGAGAGCGTGGCAGGCTTTCTGGGTGGTGGTCCTGCCTCTTTAACACAGCAATCCAACTCTTCTTCCATCCATTCTGCTCTCATCTCTTCTCTTAACCCCCCAAGAGTGGAGGAATGCTTTCAGTTGGGCTCACTGGGTGGACGGTCCAGGGTCAGACCTCAAACGGACCTCAGGTCCTCCTGGTCCTCAGGATATCTTCTTATTAGACATCCTAATGATCCATCAAAGAACATGGATCCTCAAAGAACTTTATATTTAAATTGGGTGAGGAAAACTATTGTTATCTTTATTCCATTTAGATGAATAAAAAAAATCTTAAACTTTTACTCTATGTGTCATGTAGGTGCAGATGTGGAACTTGGAAGTGGAAGTAGTATAAACAATATATATCAAAATGAGTCAAATTTCTTTAGCTGCGATGCAGCTGCAGCTATAATTTGGAGACGGGCATCCCAAACTATTTAGCCTAACATAACAAATGCAACTGACTAGATACCATCTAAAAATACACATAACTACTGTAATATCAGTATACATTGAAGTGCATATTTTATTAATTAATACTTAATTAATTAATAAATTAAATAAGCAAATTGTTAGATGACATATAATAATTTCATAATCTTTTTAAATGTATTCTTAATTATGTAATGGCACATTTCATTAATTAGGTGTGCATCTAATGTAATATGGATTTTCGTAATATAAAAGTATAACTAAAGACACATAACATTTACTTATTTCATGATACACTTGTTTATTTTCCATGTTTATGTATTTTATGAAATATATTTTTGTGAAATATTATGGCCCTCTATACCTCCACAATGGGAACCACTGATTCAGGTGGTTGAAAGAGTGGAAAAGGTTAATGATCATGAAGTTGTATGGGTTTTATTAGCATATGTAAGATTTCCTCATTTCATGGGTCCTGATTTTTGCCAAAAGAAAAAGCAAACTGGAATGTGGCTCATACAGCGAAGAAGAAGAAGAAGCCAATCAGCAGGAATCCCTGCAGCTTCTCAGAGATGTAACAACAACTTTCCACATTATCTGTGTCTCTAGGATAGATAGAAAGATAGATAGATAGATAGATAGATAGATAGAATATGTTCTTGTTTGTATGTTTTTATGCTTTTATTTTGCAAGAAAGGAAAACGTTCCCATTTCAATAACATTTTGTAGATTTTAAAGATGCACATACAAGCAAATATTGTAGCACCCCCTTTAGGTCAGTTGGGGAATAACTGAAAAGGAGTTTTGCAGAAAGTCTCAAGAGAATGAGTAAGCAACATGCAAAGTGGGTTTTTTGCATAACTTGTGTGTTTGTGCATGTTTTTATGTATGAGGTAAGAAACGATCTGCCCCTCACCCAGCTAAGCAGCGCACTGCTTGCACCCTCTCACTCCCACAGTAGTTTGTCTCAGCCGTGTCTGTCAGTCACTGAGTGTTCTGTCTGTGGGGTGTGTGTGTGTGTGTGTCTGTGTGAGATGGCGTGCATTTGTGCAGGCTGAATAAACAGGTTTCGAGTTTCCTCTGAAGTGTTTACTATATTATTACTTCCAAATAAAATAAGGAAAAATGTCACATGGATGAGAGATGCAAATCATTGATAGGATGAGATCATATTGGATTGGATCACCAGTCCAACTGAAGGATCTGAATGAAAGTGCTGTAAAGTGCCTTGAGATGACATGTGTTATTAATTGCTGCTATATAAATAAGCTGAATTGAATTGAAATTGGTTAAAGAAAAGTACAAAGAAGATTTGGGTAGTATGAAATCTCAATATTATAACCTACACTCAACATGCCTAGTTTTGATAAGCAAAAACAATAATCACCCTTCATTTTTGGGGTTTCATCTTACAACCACATGAGTTTATCGTTTTTCTCCACACAGTTGGAGGGGATTCTAAGATGTATAAATGATCAATTATCCTTTTACTGATTCTGAGATATGATGATTAAAGATGAGCCAAGTAGCTCATGTCGAATCGACCTGAAAACTAGCTCCTATTCCCACCTCTGGTTGGGTTTTTCAGTGTTTATACTCTGGAGCTGCCAAAAAACTGAAAGAAAGGACAGGTTGATGCATGTAAACTCTTAACAAATAATGGTAAGCCTTTGGAGGCAAAAGTAAAGACTATAAAAATAAAATAACACAGCCCCTAAGCCCATTAACTGTCATTAACTGTCGGACATATGTGGTTCCTACAAATTTGTAGCCTCATGCTGCCACAGTAAGGCTACTGTCTGCCATTATAATGGTTTTATATGGCAGGCTAGACCCTCCCAGGGTTTACAAAACAGCAGTTGATTTAATTTATGCTTTTTTTTGGCATTTCAAAATAATTTTAGGAGAGTTTAGTGTTGCCTGTTAACAAGCAGGAATCAAATGTCCCTTTAAACAGACATTTCTGCAGGGATCAGGTTTTAACGAAGGAGGGAGGGAGGGAGGGAGGGAGGGAGGGAGGGAGGGAGGGAGGGAGGGAGGGAGGGAGGGAGGGAGGGAGGGAGGGAGGGAGGATGGATGGATGGATGGATGGATGGATGGATGGATTGAATACCTGATTTCTTATCCAAAATTTGATAAGAAGTAAATTATGAAAATATGCAGTTTTAGTCCACATTTGTCCAGATCTCTAGAGCAGGAAAACTGAACACCACAATAAGCACTAATAAAACAGCGTATGGTCAGACTGAAAGCGAAGCTCATGTGGTTTTTACATTATATCACCAGGATTTCACTATTTGAATCTTAATTTTGCTAGTATTTATTTAGGGTCTTCTGCCCAACAGTCTGTTCATCATGGATCATTTTAGTCCCCAGCTTCTATCCTGATACATCCTCTGTATCCCCAACTCTCAGTCTGTTTCCCACCTCCCCCTAATTCCCTGATTTATCCCCTGCTCTGTTTTCCCTGGCCCACATGGCCCGGTAGTTTGCCCCAGCTCAACTCATCCAGAACCAATGTCATTCAGATCCAGTTAAATAAATGGCCCTATAAATTTGCTCCAATAACAAGTCCGAGTGGTGCTGGAATGTGCGGCGGCTTGTTGAGGACGGGACTGTAGGATCCTGTCAAACCAGAGACAGAAAAAGCTTGGGACAGTGTGAGAAACACTGGATGTGTTGTTGACGGTTGAATGTGAGTGTAAGGTTGACCCACTGGGACCCACAGAAAGAATGGGCAAGAGGGAAGCAGAAGGACAGGGTTCTGGGCCCCGTCCATTTCTCTACCTTGAACGAGGCCTTAGGGACATTTTAAATCAGCCCACCCAAAGAAACACACACACCAATCAGGACTCTGGCAGACTCGTCTAAAACAAGGGTTCTGCATAACTATGCGTTTTCCCTTGACAAATGCACATGCATGTTTTTCTCTCTATGTTGTAAACTTGTATTTCAATTCTCATAAC